CCTGTTTTAGCCAAACCAGGACACCCACCTATTAGAACAGTCTTATGTCTCACTTCTTAATCTGTGGGATTGTTTCTCAGTCAACAGTTTTCATCTCTTCATCCGCCTGGCTGCTATGAGCAAAAAGAGAGGGTGGTTTGACATTATTTTTAAGAAATAGCAGAGTATTGTGTTTTGTGGTACAGACCTCCATTTCGTCAATGTTTCCTGTATGGTCATTTTTACTGTCTGTGACAGTCACAGTGCTCTGTTCTGGATCCTTGTGACTTCCCAGGCTATTTCTGCTGTTTTCTGTGGTGGTAGGCCTTGCTTTCATATTCTTGCCTTCTGTGAGAGGTGCTGTCTTGCATTGAGCCGATTTTGGATTCTTTGTGAATATAACACTGATTGTTAAGACCCTTTATAAATATTTTGAATGTTTCCACTGTAGTAATTGTCTAGCTTGTTTCCAGCCAAGTCCACTATTTTGGAACTTTCACTAGTATTGGGGATTGTGATTTTCTTTTTTTCTGGTTTGTTCCCTTTAACTGCTGTAGCAGATGTAGAACCACGCAGCATATTTAGTTATTAGGAGTCATCTTTGGTGTTGTTTTTTTGTTTGTTTGTTTGGGTTTTGTTTTGGTTTGGTTTTGGGAGGGGAAAAAAATTCCACCACCAATCTAAGTGGCCACAGAGAAACTCGTATGGATGATAGCATGTTTGCACTGTGGAGTTGAGGTCATTGTGTCAGTTCAGGCACATGCTTCTCTCCTTGGGTTATGTGTCAGTCTGAATTGAGAAAGGGATTTTTTTTTTTTGGTTCTTTTACCACTGTTTTTTATTGGTCTTCTGCATGTTTTTAGTAGCTGTCTTGTTTGTGTGCTCCTAAGTACCACAACGTGTTTTTTCAGGAATATCTCTGCTGACAAGCTCTTGCCAGGAGGTGAGCTGCTCATCAGAATCATTTCCTCCTTTGGAAAAATCCAAGAGGAGCGTCCTTTTTAGTAACAAGAGGGAGGAAGGGAAGGCAAGGACCTAGGAATGATTCAGTGTCATTACACTCTTAGTATTGCATGATGGCCTAAGTTTTCATACTTCTGTTGTTGAGGCTTAAGTAATGGTTTTGCTGGCACAGGCAAGGTAAAGAATGATACTGATGTTTTGTATAAGAGTCCCGTGATACTTGATCTCCTTAGTTTGGCATGTGTGTGGGGTGGTACTGTCACATGTGAATGTATGTATAGATAAATACTCAAAGAAAAAGAAGCTTCTTAGCAGTAACTAGAGTTCTTTGAGATAATGTCTGTATATACATTCACTAATAGTATGGCTACTGTCTTCTCATTTTTTTCAGGATGTCTGTTTGAGGGCAGTAGGGTTTGAGGGTTTGTTGCACATTCTTTTATTGCTGTATAAGAAGGAGCTCAGGACACACATTCATAGTTGTGACTTTACATGTGAACAGTTAATCTTGAAGAAGCTGTAGCTGCTGTTAATCTTTCTTGCATTGTTGTTCGAGGTGTATGATGCTGCTGGTAGAGGTGGGTGGGGTGAGGTTTTTTTGGTTTTGATCTGTTGTAAAGAGCCTTTCCCACAGTGTGACTACAGTGCTCGTTAAGAGCCCTTCTCCTTCCTTTCCGGTTCAGGATGTCTGCATGCCAACTACAAGGGATTTCTTTTGTGCAGTATTCTTTTGTATGTACTCTTGGTCACTTTGAATTTGTCAGAAAGAGGAGTTTTTGCTGTTTCAGTGTAAGTTTTAGCTACTTATGCAGCTCCCTTTTAAACACTGACTACTCTGGAAACTGCAAATACAGGTGTATTTTGCTTTGCTACTTTTTAAGACATAAAGGATTTTCATCGACCTTACAGCCTTCTGCCAGCCATAAATCAGTGTGTCTACAGACTCCACACAGAGGCATAATATGAATATTGATTGTATTTTAAAGATGTAGAGCTTTGTGTCATGGTCCTGTGATTTGGACAGAGTTAAAGGATACTGCCTTCTGGTCTCATTCATACCTAGTTTTCTTCGTTATGTGAATGGATGTTTCCTTGATGGCAATGGCATTGTCTTTGACAATAAGTAAGCTCTGGCTGTGTAAACTGGACCTACCTTTAATCCATATCTTAGTGGATTTTAGAAGGCAAGAAGTCTTCTAAAAGTGATGACTGATTTTCAGCGTATACTTTTTTAGATGCAAGTGTTCAAGTGAGATTCTTTTCCAAAATACCAACATTAGGACTCTTAGATTCTAGTCTGCCACTGTGTGTAAAAGAGCAGGCAAATTCTGTATTCTTTAGTGGTGATACCCACCACCACGCGAACAATACAGAATTAATCCTCAGCTTGTATTCTATGAATCAGGACAGTAGATTGTGCTTTGCCAATATTGTATAAAGCATTTTTTAAGCTGCATTTTAGGTATTTGTTGAGATGATGTCTAGATTGTCATGTTTCTGTACTTCTTTTTTTATGATTTTATTTTCCCATTACTTGGAAGTTCTGATAATACTGACTGACTTATTCTTGTACATTGACTGGTAATGGTGGTATTTATTTTGATTCGTGAGCCCTGGAGATGTCAGCTGCCATAATAGATTTTGTAGGAAGGGACAACCTTGCTGGCCCATGCCTAGCAGAGGGGTGTCTGCAGGATGTTCAGTTTCCAGATGCATCGTTGTATGAAAATAGTTACATTGCTTCTATACCCAGCAGGCACACCAGGTTCATGCAGTACTTGGATCAAAATAGTAAGTCCTACCAGAGTCTGAATGTGTTGGAAAGTGCATTGCAGATGTAATTGAGCTAGCTGTGCAAGAGCTCTCTCAGGTCCCGAAGTGGTACACTTCAGTCTAGAATTAATCAAGAGAAATGAAAGATCTGATTTTTGTGTTTGAAAGTGTGCTTTATTTGTGTTTTTCACCATGTGTATATATTTAAGGTAGTTTTATATTTAAGATAATGACTTGATTGAATGGATTATTTTTTTAAGATGAGCTGTATCTTGGCTTGCAAGCATTTCTTAAGAATATAAACCAACTTAGTTACAGCAGTTTCCATTTTTTTTAAATCGCTCATATTTAGCTGTTAGTGCTTCAAGTGAAAGGGCAGTATGCCCAAAATGTAAGTGGAATGTAAGGGAAAAATGTAAATGGAGTAAAATCCAGGTATATCAATTTGCCTGGTATATAATGAAGATAGACAAAACATATAATTAGACCTTTATAGAGAGTCTTTTCATAGAATTCTAAGTGGTGTCATGTTACGAGTTCATGTGAATTTCACTGTTAATAGGCATCCTTTCAGAAGAACCAATTAATTGTGAAAATAGGATTAAAAAAATGCTTTAGGTTGGCAGATAAAGTTGCTTTTCTTTCAGTTTTGGCAGTAATTACCTTTAAGGGAAGAAGGAAAACATACAGAAACAATGTAAATACTCTGCTTTAACAGATAGCTGTCTAACATGGTATTTAAGTCTAGATTTTAAATTTCTTTTCCTCAGGTCAACTTCCCGTGTAAAAGAATATTTGTGTGATTTTTTTTCTTTTTTTTTTTTTTTTCCTTTGAGAATTTTATTTGGCATTATGTCTGAATTAAAGCTGTACTATGGAATACAAGTTAACTAACTATATTCAACAAACTAGCTTTTAAGTTTGACTGCATTAAAATGTCTCTTGCCACCTTGGTGCATAAACAGTTTCTAGGTAAGAGAAGTAAATGTTGAGCTTCCTGGAATCGTGTTAAGAGAGGTTAATGCATTTTATTCTTAATTGGTTTTAAGCTAGACAATAAGATGGATAAATATCTATATGCTGACCTTGTTTTTTGGTTTTGTTTTTTTTTAAAAAAAAAAAGTTGTGCAACCAACCTATATTGTGTATTTTTTAAATAAATTGACTCCCTTTTCCAGGCCTTAGATGGTCAAAATATTTATAATGCTTGCTGTACCCTACGGATTGATTTTTCCAAATTGGTGAATTTGAATGTCAAGTACAACAATGATAAAAGCAGGGACTACACTCGTCCTGATCTTCCATCTGGTGATGGACAGCCAGCGCTGGACCCAGCTATTGCTGCAGCATTTGCAAAGGAGACCTCTCTTCTAGGTATGATTCTGACATTGTCCTTTTGTATTGCAAAGTCACTTGATGAAAATGTTTATTAATCCTTCTAACAGTTAAAGATCTTATGTTGCGATAGTATCCAAAGGCCCATTCAGGGTTCAGTCTCTATTGTGATCTGAATTGTAGTAACACAATTATATTGTCTTTAGAAGTCCTGCATAAATGAATGAGAGAATGCATGACAGAATGAGAAATGCACAAAGTATAAGGAAAAGTCAAGTTAGTTCTACTTTTATTCCCGAATCTGTCCTCCCCTCTTTAATATGTTCCTGTCAGCTGCTACTGTCCACTTTGCCCACTCTCCCTACCCAAGTTTGTAACAGAGACTTAAAATGATTTGCATGTTTCATTCATGCTAATACTTATTTGTAGTATCAGATTATGAAAATAACATTTTGTCAGTTTCCTTCAATGAGGAAAGATTATGCTCTTTGCTTTAAAAAAAAAAAAAAAAGATGCTAGTCTGTGGTTTCTGTTAAAGGAAAAAATCTGTAGTTGCACTTCTAGTGCTATGGTACATGAGTTCTAATATCCTGTCAGCCTTTGAGTTCATCAGAAGAAAGAGGTGAAATACTCTGTGAAAGACAGAGATAAATATATCTTCTGACTATTAGCAAAATAATTAATGCATGCTTTGGGAGAAATTTGTGATTTGTTTTTTTAATTTATCACAGTTCATTGCATGAGTTTCCCTCCTACTTCTGGCAAGTTGCTGTTCTTTGAGAACACCTTTCACTCTTCAAAATTTAATAGTACTCAAACTTAATCTCATGACTTCTGTAAAACCTGATTTATTATTTTATCATTGTTCTTAGCACTTAGTCTTTTTTTCTTATTTTTTCTTTCATCACTTCCCATTTTTCTCAACGTAGATTTCGTGCCTTGGTTTTTTTGTACAGGATGGACCAACTTGGAGTAAGTCAGAGTTAATGTAATAAAGAGGGGCCTCTGCTCTATGTGTGTTACAGAAATTAGAAGGCACTTTGAGAATGAAAAGGAAAAGGGTGAATATTATAGTTAAGGCTACTGAATGCTTCGTTTTTCTCATCGTAGATTTCATGCCTTGGTTTTTTTTGTACAGGATGGACCAACTTGGAGTAAGTCAGAGTTAATGTAATAAAGAGGGGCCTCTGCTCTATGTGTGTTACAGAAATTAGAAGGCACTTTGAGAATGAAAAGGAAAAGGGTGAATATTATAGTTAAGGCTACTGAATGCTTCGCTGTATGTGCCCTTTCCTGAAATCAGATTACTTGCAGGATACATTTCATATCTGGTTGTAAATTACACACACACCTCCCACAAATTTTGGAGTACTTGACTTCGCATCCTCCAATATGACTTGCAAAATGGTCTATCACTTGTAGCTACAGCAGTAGCTTTGAAAAGTAGAAAATACTGCAAGAATCTAAATCCCTGAGGAACCCATAGCTAAAGCTTATTTTCTTTTTTTATCTTTTAACTTCCCATTGTTTAAAAATTGCAGTCTTTCTTTTCATGGATTGGTAGGGAAGGGGGATGAGCGTTTGTGGAGAAGTTTGACAACAAGGAGATGAGTGCTGTAGAAACACCCTTGAGGCAGTTAGCAATTCTTTTGTCGGCACATAGTTTATAAAACAGTGCCAAATGCCGCATTACTTATGTAACTCCAATTCTGACATTTTCCTGAATTCTGAGAAGTTACTTTCCAGTCTCAGGCTTACTAATATATTTCTTTGTATGTAATGCTTATAGTATGCATCAAATTAGTAGGTTTAATTTGCTTGACATAGTGGAATCACACTCTGAGAATGCTTGGATCATTGCATCACTTTGGATACGTTTAATAATTGGGGTTACTATACTTGTTATAGTTAGCGGACTTTAATGTTTTAGGTTTGAAAGTCACTTAGATGCTTTTGTAATTTTTGTCTAGAAAACTATGGAAGTTTTCTGACCTTTTGATTTTAATCGCACTCATTCTTTTCTGCGTATTAAAGGTTTTTGCTAATAAAATTATGAAGATGACAGTCATATTAGCTAAGTAAATATTTTCATTCTCACTGGACCTTTTAAAATGCCCTGTTTTTCCAAGCAGCAGGAAAATAAAAGGTATATGACACGCGTAACTTTCATTACAGCTGTGAAACATTTTCAGAGCATCAGTGAAGTCAGTCATGTTTATTTTCATGAGTAGTGGAGATTATATATCATGGTTTGTTTTGTTTTTTTTCCTCTGTAAAAGCATTCATTGTTTTGAAAGCGACTTAAGGGAGCTGGATACATTTTCTAACTCTGCTCTTGGCCAGTTGGGTGAGCTTGGTATATTGTAACTCTGCATCATATGTCAAATGGGGATGGTTATAGAGTGATCTCTCTTTTTGTTGTTGTTGTTGTTGTTTGGGATTTGGTGGTTTGGGTTTTTTTCCTAGTTGCCTTTGTTTGTTTTTATAGAATTTGAGCTCTACAGCTGAAAAACTTTACCAAAAGGCTCCATTGTACTGTTGGTGCCTTAGCCATTTGGATAGCTGTGAAAATGGGAATGGTGCTTGTCTGAATATGGATGAACAAGGTTCTCATTCTGGGCTGCTTACTGTGCAAAAAGGCACAAAATAAAGTGACAAAAATAAGAAAGTACAAAGGATAGAAAAAAACTCAATAGCCTAAATGGACACTTGTGCATTCAATTTATAGCTGCGTTTTTATTCAGATACTCAAAAGGAGAAGGGTGAGAACACTTAAAAGTTCAGAGAGTTACAAGATGGAGGTTGGCAAACTGTGATGTGGGAAATATGACAGAATGATAGCAGTGACCTTCCTCCTGCTTCTTTCTTTTATCTTAATATTTTATTTCCTTTTATTTGCTTTAGAATTCTTATTTCTGTAATGTTGATAAAGATACAGTCAGAGTGTCTACCGTGCCCTATTCACAGATGATTCCAAATGGCATGTTTCTCCATGAAAGCAGTGGAGCTCCATTTTGAGCTTAATGTGATGCTCTTTAGGTTCTTTTGTGTGCTCAAAAAGAATACCGTAAGTTGAACCTGTGGCATTCTTGTTAACAGTCTTGCTGTAGCTGTTCTCTTATATGTCTATAATGAGATCACTAACAGAAGATGTGGTAAGGACTCATTTCTGACTTTTGCTTATGTTATGCTATTATATGCTGGATAGTTGTACAACTTTGGTGCCTTTTTGTTACTGACTTTTCAGTAGTATACTGTAATTCATATGTCGGAAGGGAGGTTTAGGTTTAACATAATTTTGTGAGTTGAGTTTTAGTGACAAGATGTGAGTCTTGTTAGTCTTGGGTTTAAATATGCATTAACACTGAAACATTACATACCTCAGTTTCCTTCTGGGTGGAATTAACCATCCTTTCCAGTAAGTGTAACTTTATGATGTAGTATAGTAAGACTTGCAGCTCATAAGCTGTTATGCAGGGATTTCAAAAGAACCTGCTCTCTCCCCCAAACCCCTTCAGGCTGCGTGTAAGGAGCAGGCCAGTAACAAGTATAAAAAGATGGTGGTTACTTGACATAAAGCCACAAAAAAGATTTGTAACAGGACTAGGCACTAAATCCAGTTCTCAGTTGCAGTTATGCATACCTTTATTAAGATGACTACTCCTACTGCTTAGGGTTTTCATACATAAGTTCATCACATTTTTAGTATAGCTTTAATTTGCCTCTTATTAAAATGGCATTACTAATTTGCATTTCAGAAGCCATGCAAAAGGATATGCTGAGGGGGAATAAATAATGTGACATGCTGTGTTTAAACTTCATTGAGGACAAAAGACCTGAAAAGGCTAGGAGAAGGTGTATAGTACTTGTATGTTTTCATTAATATCCGGAAAAAGCAAAAACCTGTTACCTGTAATTGTTGGAAGCTAAAATAAAGCTAGTGACAAAGCTTTCTAATACCAGTTGATCATGTTGACAAAGTAGCTAATGTTTCTAAATAGTTGCAGGTAAGTCCTCAAATCTTAAAGTGTGTTGCATGATAAGCTATACAAGTTGTTCTTATTTCTATTTATTAAAATTTTTTGACTTACTTAAATCAGAATGGCAAATCAGAGTGCAGTGGAGACCTACAGAACAGGAATTGTTTTTTCTGTGGGTTTGTAATTTGTGCAACCTTTCCAAGAAATGAGGTCTGTGTGTGCTGTGTAATTGGTTAGAAATGGATCAGTCAAATAGATGATCCTAGCCCGCATGCATCATTGTTCATTTGTCTACTACATCCTCAGCTGTGATGAAATAAGGTGATATAAATCTTTGAGACTGTAAGTTGGAGATCTTTTCAATCAGTCTTGTTATCTTTTGAAAGAAGGAGAAAATCACTAATGGCCAAAATGGGCTGGTTTCAAATGAATTGTGAGAAGCAGATGGTTGATTATTTTTTTTTTACCTCACATATGAAAAGATACATACGTGATGCATGATACAGATACTGAACTGTCACAAACAAAAGATTTTAAATAAGAACTACTTATAATTGCAAATACTAATATGTAATAATACTTTAATTTAGATATTTGTTTAATATTACAGCTGGAAATATGTTGTTGTGGTTAGGGCTCCCACAGCTTTATTGCTTGCTGTTACTGCTGGCTTGCTTTATTAGCGCTTTCCACTAATGCCCCTTCTTAAGACTCTTATTAAATGAATCTATTTCAATGGATAATAATTGAAAATATTTTTGTATGAATAGTGTTGAATTAATCTCTATTTTTAACTTCTTCAGTGGGACCAAAAATGTCCTGTAGAGAGTCTGATACTATGAAGAATTTTGCCTTTTGAAGTATGAATTACTCAGCTATGCTCTGCCCAACCATGGAAAGAGCCATAAAAACTTCACAAGTCATCTTTAGATTCCTTTATTCCTAAAAATGCTGGACTGACTTGAAGCTTCTAAGCTTAGGGAGAAGTGCCTAGACACACTAGAAGATTCGAAATGCTCTATTATCTTGGCATTTTCTAATACCTAAGTGATTGCTGTTGACCTAGTATAAAATAAGTTGTTTCCCTTCAGGTGGACATCTGTCATACCTTACTGTCATTCTTCAAATTTCTGTCTGTGTGACCTCTACAGTAGCTGGGTGTAAATAAACATGATATTCAGCATATGCAATACAAAGCACTCAAAAGTACATTTCCAAAATTATTTTTTAGAACAGAACTGGATTGTTTTTTAAAGTTGTTTGTGAAGTTTAATGTGATATTCACAGGTTTCCATGTGCATTACAGTCTGATTTGGGGAATGAGCTTCGCTACTTCTTCCACAAGGGTACTTTCTTTAACTGCATCCGTAATTAGTTGTTTTTACTTGAAAGTAAAGCTACATTCTTCAGCTTTAAACCAAGAGCAAAACATGTGTCATATTTATGTTAGATTTTTGCCTTGCTATTAATATACATAAGGATATAATATTACACTTTCACACAAAATGGATTTTGAGAAACAAAATTGCTGTTCTTGGACTAGCAGTGGTCCGTCTAATTTCATACCCTTTCTCTGACAGCTCGTGTTACTTCTGTGTTCTCTGATGGAAGACGTAGCGCAGCCCTCATAATGAATGATCATACTGTAGCATACCTGGAGGGAGTGCTTTCCAAACCCCCAGGTAGCTAGTGCTTGGCTTACATGATGAAGCATATTATATGTCACTTCATTGCCTATTTAATGTAAGTGACTGTTGTTTCCATAGGCAATCTAATACAGTCTCAAATCTATCAAGTGTTTTTTGCAGACAAGATAGGGTTTTTCCTTTTTTTTGTGTAGTACAGTCATTCCCACAAATAGCACATGTAATGCAATAAAAGATTATATTTGTTGCCTTTTGATGCATGTAGATTTTCCCTTTGTCTTGTGTCATGAGAGAAGACTAGAATTGTCATTACTCAGAACTTTCTGTTCTTCTTCTTTGACCTCTGAATACTAACATTTTTAATCTTTTAAAATTTATTGGAAAGCATTCCATATCTTTAATTTCCTCTCTTAGAACACTTACTGTTTTTTTTCCTTCTATATGTGTTTTGACAGGAAATGACCGGAAAATATTTTTCAGTGCTTGATCAGTAATACTGTTAAGGACTGTCGCAAAGTAGTGATGGATGTCCTGTTCCCTTTGGGAGGTCATTTGTCCCACCCAACAAAATATCTCTCTTTTTTAAATTATTTATTTACATTTTGTTACACAAGTTTGTGAAAAACAAAGAGTTGGAATGCAGGTAGAAATATTTTCTAGGAAATAAAAAATTGTAACCTTGCTTACTCCCCCCTTGTGTCCCCCTCGGTGTTCTTTTGATACTAAATCTGGGATTATTCTTTTTTTAAATTAATGGTTGAATATATTTACTATTGTCTGCTTAGTATTTGGTCATTGACTGAAATGGAAGAATTTATTTTCTCTTATGACTTCCTTTAAAATAAAACTTAATTTGGGAAGGACAGTAGTCTTAGGTACATAGTATAAAGGTTATATTTACACTGTCTGCCTGGCATACCGGAACACTGGTCAAAAGTTGTATTAACTTACCATGATTATATAAACATGATGAATTCTGCCAAAATACTGAAATCTAGAACCCAATTGCAGTAAAAGAAAATAAAATACTGGTTATATTTCTTTATTGTTTTTTACACATTTTGCAAAGTCAGTGTCCTTTTACTGAACTCTGTAAAATGTGCAAATAAAATAATGATCAAATAAGATAAAGCAGCTCCTGGGAGCAGCACACTCGCCTAGTACCCCAGTGACTTGACCAGGCAAAACCAACAGGTCACTACAGGATCTGAGTTTCCTTGGAAGAAGGAAAATAAAAACGCGGCTGAAGGTTTAGCTAACGGTAACATGCTTCTCAGGGAATTGGATTACAAAAACCACAGAGCATAATCAGTGGTGCTACCTTGAATCTTGAATTTAGAAAGTTGCCTCCTCACCTCATTTGTGCTAAGGCTCTGAGAGGTAGGTAGGCCTTTTCACATGACCAGCTCCAGTGTTATATATTTCATCTGAAGCATCAAGTTGAAGTGAAGAATGCCTTTCAAAGGGTGATGGAAAATAAGGATGTAATGATGCAGAGAGCACAATTAGTGTTTATTCTTATTGATTTGATCAACATTTACTTTAGACCATTTTGATAAACTAGACACTTTGAGCATTTTGCGGTGTAGTGGAAACAGTTTTGGTGCACAAGAGTGTTTATTTGAAAAGAAAGTACTTTTCACACCTCGTCACTTCTGAATAAAAAAAATGCACACTTCCTTATGTTAATTTAACAACTCATTTCACAACCCTTTGGACTACTGTAACAGTGGAATGGTCTGCTTTGTACAATGCAACACTTGTACTGGTATAGATACTTTTTTTTTTAAAATGACTTGTGTGTGTTTCGTAAAATATGCTTTATTTTAAAATTAGGGCTTCCTGTTGCAGCTGTTCCAGGAGCTCTGAGTCCTTTGGCTATTCCAAATGCTGCTGCTGCAGCTGCTGCTGCTGCTGCTGGCCGTGTGGGAATGCCTGGAGTTTCAGCTGGTGGCAATACAGTCCTCCTGGTTAGCAATTTAAATGAAGAGGTCAGTGAAACAATTTTACTTTTTTTTTTCTCTTTAGTCACACTGCATTTGTCCATATTTTATAATTTCTTTGCATTTGGCTTCTTGCATTTGGATTTTAAGCCCAAAGTATTTTTGCTGTTTTTTTAATAATCCCCCAAAGTTAATTTTAAAGACATTATCGTTAAATACTTTTGTTTTCCCAGGTAGCTAACAACTTAAAATGTCTTTTGATAGTCAGCTACCTATTTTTTCTAAGAAAAATGTGCTAACTACTGCATGCTTGATATTTGAATTGAAAGCTTTATTTTTACAAAATAGCAAGTATGCTTTCTTTTGCAATTATAATCATGTAAACTAGAATTTCTGTTTTGTTTCTTCTAATTGTTTGCTGTTTCATTTCATGCTTGTATCTCACATTTTAAGATCTTAATTTATGTGAACTACTCTAACACATTTTTCTTTAAAGGTTCTCCCAAAGATCTTGACGAGGCACTCTTCCAGTCTCTCTTAGTAATTTTTTTCTTTGCAGTTACTCATTTGTCTTTAAAAAAAAAAAGTATTAAGAAAATAGTAGCAAAGCATTTTCGCCTTAACTGTATCTTCCTTGCTAACTCTGAAATCTAAAAAGGTTTATTTAGTTTTGCATTTTTACTGTCCTTTATGTTTATTTTGATGGCTGTGAAAGCTGGTATGAAATGTGGGAAGTTTGTATCAGTCTAGCTGTTCCATTTTTAACTGGCCTCTGTCACTGTAAATCATGAAGCTTTTTTTTTATCATCTGGTACTATTTTGTCATCCACAGTCTTGCATGTTAAAATGTTTTCAATCAGAGTGCCATTTTGAAAGATTTTTTTGCCTGCATTTCATAACCAGCCATGCTTACGCAGTTAAAGTTCAAAGTTTAAAATTTCTATTGCATGGGTTTTTTTTAATTTATTTTCATGTTGAGATGAAATGCTGTAGTTTACTCTTGATATGAATGTACTTTACCCATATTTGTCTTGGGTGACTACATTTTACTCAGTTTTTCTTGTACAGTACATAAACCAATCATTTTCTGACCAAATTCCTGCATTTCCTATGTACTGACCTATATTTTATTTTTTTTTTTGTTCCCCACTTCCTTATTTTTTTTTCTTCTGCATTGCTGTATTCCCTTCCCCATTTCATCCTTTTCCCTTTGTGTTCAACTTCCCTTTCCTTGTCTTTACCCAAATTCCCATGCCCTACCCTGTCTTACCCTTCTCCTCCTCGTTGTCCACGTTCCCTGTCTTCATTCCCTATGTTCATGCTTCTGTGCTTGAACAAAATGTTCCTCGGACCAACTTGCCCCAATTAACCGCCTTGAAACCATGATCCATGACCACCTCACCATTCTGCGGGAACCACCCTTCGTTATGGATGATCTGTTCATCTCCGCAAAACTCTTCTCTCTTCTTGTCTTACGCTGCTTGCTCTTCTCTCCTTCTAAAGATGGTTACGCCCCAAAGTCTGTTTACCCTCTTCGGTATGTTATTGTTAGCACTATACTTTTATTATTGATTTGATTTTGTTTTGGTTTTGGTTTTTTTTTTTTGTTTTGTTTCACCTTAATTCTTATTTGTAGCTAGCACTTTGGCTTAAAGTTGAATAGTAAATCTTTTGCTATTTTTCTTTTGCTGTTTAAAACTCTCCATAGACACAGATTTTCTTTTAATGCATGCTAATATATTTTGCATGGTCTTTAATTTAATATCATTCACATAGCTTTGAGGGTTTATCAGAAATTATTCTTTTCAAAATTCACTATTCAAAATCTTTATCTCCTTTATTCATTTGTGAGAGTGTTGAGTTTGAGTGAGTGATCTTGTTGATGTCTGAATGTTCCATTGATATGTCAAAATATATTACTTGGGTGACTGGCTTTAAAATGAACTTTTTCTTTTGGGTACCTTTGACTTTAAAAAGGTGTTTATGGTGATGTGCAGCGTGTGAAGATTTTATACAATAAGAAGGATAGTGCTCTTATACAGATGGCTGATGGAAACCAGTCACAGCTGGGTAAGATTAGTTTTCTGTTTATATTCCCGTTAGTCTAAGTACTTGAAATTATGCTGTGTAAAATCAGGTGAATTAAGTATGTTTACTTTTGTCAGTTTGTCTTGTATCCTGGTTACCCACAAGATCCAAAATCTTACTGCATGCACTTGTATTCCAGAAGGTCTGCAGAATATCCTAAATGAATTCAACAGCTGAATAACATGTGACAGTCTTTAAATAAAATTGAATATTCATGCAGATCCTGCAGACCTAGTTCTTGATTCCAGTCTTGTAGCACATTGATTCTTTGCTGGTTTTGTTGTTCACTTGTGTGATGTACCTACCACAAGGTATTGAAAAGTAACACTGAATTAAGTAAACTTCTTGTCTTTTTCAGCTATGAGCCATCTTAATGGACAGAAAATGTATGGAAAGATTATTCGGGTTACCCTTTCTAAACATCAGACAGTACAACTACCTCGAGAGGGACTTGATGACCAAGGGCTGACTAAAGACTTTGGTAATTCACCTCTGCATCGCTTCAAGAAACCTGGTTCAAAAAACTTTCAAAATATATTTCCTCCTTCTGCAACACTTCATCTGTCCAATATTCCGTAAGTGTTGGCTGTCAGTAAGCCAGTAGTATTAATGTGAATCACAACACACTGAATTGACTAACAATTTCTTGCTTATGCTTATTTTCTTTCGGACTGTAGACCATCAGTAGCAGAAGAGGATCTACGCACATTGTTTGCTAACACTGGAGGCACTGTGAAAGCATTTAAATTTTTTCAGTAAGTAAATTTTCTGTACATAGCTTTAACAAAAGACTGCCTAAGTGCGTTTTTGCAGCACATCTTAAGGAAAAGTGCGTACATTAGGAGCAACCCCTGTAGTGTTAAAGTTCCTAATGCCATTATTTTGTTTCAGAAGAGATCACAAGATGGCGCTTCTTCAGATGTCAACAGTAGAAGAAGCTATTCAGGCTTTGATTGATCTTCACAATTACAATCTGGGAGAAAATCACCATCTGAGAGTTTCTTTCTCTAAGTCAACTATTTAAAAAGGCAGATTGAAAATGAGGGTGTATTGCATTGTTTGGTGTTGTCACCTATTGACTGTTCAGGAAAGTGGGGACCAGAGTTTGTCTTCTGTTGTTTTTTTATTTTTATGCTGTTATCATTCCTTGGTTGTTTTAAAAAATAAAAAAATTGTTAAAAAGCAGTGATACTAACTGCTGTTGTTCAACTGTTGTTTAGATAAACCATCATTTTGTTTAAAAGATTTCAAGTTAATACCACATTTCAACTTAGTTGACGTACGTGCCTTAAAAAGGAAAACTAGTACTGCTGGAATTGCATAACTAGTAAAAAGTAAATTTGGTTGTCTGGGGCACATTGTTACATGATAATTTAAATATGTTTAGGCAGGGGTGTGTAAAAAGGTTAAGCTTTTGTTTCTCCTGCTTGATAGATTTCTTTATCTGCTGACCTGTCACTTATTTTTCTTTTTAATTGGTTAAGACGCATTACACTGAAAGAGTAAAATGACATTATTTGATTTCTGCTACTCCTTGTTTTGTGCTCTTTTTTTAAAAAAGGCCTTTTGTATTTCATCGTTCTGGTCTAGATTCAGTTATGAATGTAGGCATTAGTTAAAATTAACAAGGTACAGAATATTAATTTCTTAAAGGACAAAAAGTGACTTCTGTGACTTTGAGCCCTACGTGAAAAGCATTGTGGAATCTTAACCTTTTTGTACACACTCTTGTGGGATGTATCATATAAATGTCAGCACTAAGTAATGTCTCGTTTGTGGCTGAATATTTTTCGTAGATGTTTTTGAAGTTGACATGACTTATGTGCATTTCAATATATATTGCCATCTTTAGTTTGTAATTAAGATATGGAATATGGTTGTGGATTTCTGAGCATGTACAGACTGGTCAAGCTAGTTCAGGAAATGGTGCATGTATTTTTCAATGATGAAGAAAGTTTGCTGCAAATGCTTGCAGGAAATTTTGTGGCAGTTTTCTAAAACTGATAACCAGGTGGGACCAAAGTTTATGTGCCTTTAGTCTTAATTTACCTTGCATTGTAATATTCAGTTTTAATAAATCTATTCAAAATATTTTGTATTTAGAAATTGATCTGACTTTACTATAAACATGACTCAGAATCTACAGATCCAGTTAATTTGAAAGCAGTTCTCTGTCAGTCTGAACTGTTAATTTGATTCTGTTTAAATGACCAATACTTTTTGAAATTGATGTACTTAGTTTCAAGATTCATAGATTCTGTTATCTATGTAGAAAAAAAAAAAGGTCATGTATATTTTCTATTAGTTGAGTTTTTACATCTTTAGAATTGTAAAATTCAGTATAGTTTGAAAGTGGCACAATTAAAAATTAATTTTCTAACAAAGTTGGGAGGTTTGACGGTGGTTTAATTTCATTTTGTGTGTACTCTGCTTACCTCTGTAGCATGCTCAATAAACACTTCTGTAGCTCTGTATTCACCTTTTCTGTCTTTCTCTGCTGCTTTCTATCTCTCCTATTCTTTGTTTTTCACTTCTACTGTGCTTCTAAATTCATGTTTATTCTCTGCCAGGGTGGGAAAAGCATAATATTAAAAAATACATTTTATGGCTTTTTACCATAAATCTGATGCTGTGAAAAATACCAGCTCTTTATTTTCAGAAAGATAGTGACCCCTTTGCAGGCATGTGTGCATATTAAACATTTCCCACCCTGTTACAACTACTGCTTTAAAGACATAACTTTTATTGTAGTTTGTTAGCTCTCTCTTTCTGTCTTTTTAGTTTTTAAGCAATTTTATGCACTAATAGATCTCTCAGGTTTGCCATGCTCTCTTGCTGCAGTTTCATCTTCCATTTTTTGTGTCTGCTAAAGATTTTTCTACTAATCATACAGTATACTCATGGGTTAAAGTAACAAAATTTTTAACATTGGATTAGTGGATGATGCATATTCCAGACCAGGATATTACACCTTTTCAGAGACATCGGTTCAAATGAATGTAAAAACAGTTTGTGCACTTTAATAGTGTTTCTTTATATTACTTTGAACGAATTGTTGTGGGTTTTTTTCCCCTCAATTAGAAATAGGATTAAAAATTTTACACGGTCTCCTTTTAAGAGTAACTGTATGATCCTGAAGCATTACATTGATAAAAGCTGTCAGTGTTCAATTCGAAGCATTTTTCTGTCACTTCTTCAGTTCAACTAATGTAGATTTATTGATGTCAGATTACTTTGTGACCTGATGTCTGTTCTTTGGGTTGGCTTTCAAATCAATAAATAGCTATCAGCTTTTAAAGGTCATGGTATAACATAGGGGGCTTGCAGTAGTCTTCACAATATTAAATAAAATGCATTAGGTTCTTACCTGTTTTATCGGAAAGACACCCAAAATATGACAGGTATCACAGTGATCACCCAGTCTGAAATACTAGTAGAATCAGATTCATCCATACAAGAAACTTGTGAGTCAACATCTTACAACTCGGGCACCCAAATGCATCAATGTGACTAACTCCCAAATGACTTGAACAGAGTCTGACTGAACTGATCTTTTAAATTTTTCATCTATATAGTATGATGGCCAATATTTTTAAAAGTAAAAATGTGTCAGATTTTCTTTTGCATATCAGAATGTGCTTGCATGTTTCAAATAGAAATGTGAATTGAAATTTACCATTCCATGAGTTCAGCTTGTGCTGAACTATTTCCACTCTAAAATATCTGTATCAGATAGCATACAGTGATTGCCGTATGTATAATTTTGAATTAACTTTAAACATTGTGGTGCTTGAGTGTTTACAAATACAGGGTTTTTGTAAAACTATAGCTTACTCATCTCTTGCCAGGCTTATTTCTTAAAAAGAAGTTTCTGTACTTCTTTTTTCTCATTAAGAAAAGTTCTGTGGCAAAAACCTCAAGAGAAAGAATATATAGTGAATTTCATTTGTTACAAATTCAGTAACTTTTATTATGAGGTTATATTTGTATCAGCCAAAACTAAAAGTAATGATAGTTATAATTGTCATGGAAGAGTTTTTTTTTTTTAATTAATTCAGTGAAGAAAATCACTGTTCAGTTATTGATACTTAGTCTTTAAAGTGGTATCTCTTCAGAAAATACAGGTTTAATGTCTTAACTGCTAGAATTTTCAAAAACTTGTTTTTCTTGAGATGGTACTGCATTTTGTATAGTAATGTGTACATTTTTGTTGTTATAAAATGTAAATAAGCTTCTGTATTTTTAGCTCTTCAGAATGTGAAAATGCAAAGCATCTTTTCTATTAAAATGTTACTAAAAATAAGGTTTATGAATAACTTCTTACACTCCATGGAATGTCAGTTTTCGGATTATGTTAGTAGAACTTTACCATAGACATATGGTACTCCAAACTCAATTTCAGATTTTTAAAATAATTCTAGTATTTTGACAGAAGGTGGTTGCTGATATTTTTTTCTTTGTGAATTGTTATATTTTTCTGTAATGGAGCAATGAAATTGGTTGGAGAAGTCCAAAAATGATTCTTTGATCAGGTAATGTCCATTGGCAAATACAATATGTAAATGAAGTAAAACAAAGCCTGATAGCGTTCTAACTAAAAATTGTGGCAAAACTTCAGAGTTAAGAAGTATTGCTGTATATTGTCATTTAACATTATTTAAAGGTGCCTTTGCCCTGCAGGAATAGCAGCTCATACGACTATTTGTAGATTGCCGTTTTTAATGTCTTGCATTGATTTTCAGTTTTATAAGCCATCTTACAAAAACCCCTCTTTGATTCTTTCTAAGTTTCCTTATGTTTATTATAATATATTACTACGTGCAAGCACCAATCAGGCATTTATCTGCAGTATTTAAGGCACTGCAATTTCATACCCTAGTTTACTCCGGATAATTTGTCTAATTCTATGCTTAGGTAGTAAGTAGTTCTGTTGAAATGCCAGGAAAAAGATAAGAATTACGTCTTTCTCTGCAAACAGGTATATAAATCCTCTAGTACCTCTCAAGAAATGGTTTTCCCAGTATTAAATGTTTCACAGTGAGCAAGGCTTCTTAAAAAGATTTGATTCTGTTAGGTAGGGATGAGGGTAAAGTCTGTATCTGTTAGACCTTATTCTATTCCAGAGACTGAGACAACCAAAAGTTGAGAGTTTTGCTGAGGTGAACAAATTTTCTTTTAAATAATTCAGCAAAATGTCACACTTTCTTTAATCCTGGTCTGTGTAGAAAGGGCTATATAAATTGTGAATGTGGTCAAGATTGTATTTGAAGATGGATTTTCCCAGGTCTTGGTGATGCAACATGTGCAATATTTCTTACCCTACTGGTCTCTTGGGGAGCAGCTGTAGCCTGCTGGTCTGTTTCTCATCCACATGGAGGATAAGGAGAGAGATTGATTTTTCTGAAACAGTGGGATTTGGCATGCTGTTTTCTACTTAATGGGCCTTGGTAAAGTTAATTAGTGGACTGCAGTAACCTAACTGTAGAGAATGATAATCTGTTATAAATTATTCTGTTAGTCCACAATTAGCTTGCTAGAACCAGTGACAAGGTTCCTGCCTTGCTGAGGAATTATATGCCACAATAATGAAGCTTTAGAGAATTTCTTTACCTTATTTTTTTTCATTTAATATAAGAATTGGTCTAGAATTACCTAATCGGAAAACCTCTACAGTGCATCTACACACACACACACACATGTGTTTGGTCTCTTCAGGATGGTTAACAAAAGGAAATTGGTGAGTTCCTGCTTCACCTTAAAAAATGTTATTTTTACTGCATGATACAGCTTTATTATAATTTTCTGAGTTTACTGAACTTTCTCCTGATCAACAAACTGAATTTGGAAGAGGATTATGTTGCTTTGTTTTTCCCCCCTTCAAAGTTTACAGTGCGTAATGTTCAAAATCTATATTCTTTCATGATCAGTTGTGCATGCAGGCAGCAAAAGAAAAGCAAAGAACTTTTCTTCCTCAGGAAAATGTGAATTAAATGTGGATTGGCTTAAGTATCTAAAAAAAAAAAAAGCTCAAAATAGCACTCCTGTTATTGAAGGGTTCTGCATGTTTTATGAGTTTTAGCCCAGTTTGATAAGGAAATGAGACATGCATAATTGCACTGTCTCCCTGTGAATGTTCTGTTTCCTACATAACCCCTGTCTCCTCTCTGTCACTCCTGCACCCTTTGGCTGGTTTCCTGTCAGACAGAGCGGATGGAGGTCTTGCGTATTGAGGTGTTGCTTTTTCTACACTCATGATGAGTTGGCTTGCTAGGTCAACTTTCCTTTCAGTGCTATGGGAAAGGGAAGGAAAGAATCTGCTGCCTTCTTTTTTGGTTTGGCAGGAATTACCGAACAGGCATGCACATAGTTCTCTCTTCCTCTAACAAGTGGAAGTTTGTGAGGTAGCAGACGTGACAGGGCCTGGGGATGAGTGGAGTACATGAGAAATTGGAGGGAAGGGATGTTTTGCAGCAGGAGCAGTATTGGACAGAGGAGTGTTGAGGGAGTTTCAGTAGGTTTCTTTTAAGTTGTTTTCATGCATAAGTAGCCCTTTAAAATTGTTAAGGTAAGGGGAGAGTTATTGGTTGAATTATTTGGGGGGGTTATTTTACAAACAAGTTTGGTCAAAATCAGTACAGCTTGCGAGGTAAATGTGGTATGTTTTCACGTCTGCTCAACAGGTATGGAGTTGTCAGAGCTTAGCAATTGCATGCAAACTGCTGTGGAAGCTGGTTTTCCCAGGATGAGTACTGATCATCCCTGGAAGCCAGCGAGACTGAAAGCCTGAAGCCTCTGGCCCTAGGATAGACTACATGTCGGGGTAGTTTAGGATGATTGACACTGATGGCTTGCCAAAGAACTAGATAAAGCAAGCTGGCTGCATCTTGCAGGAGGTTTGTTAGAGAAGTCATCAAAAGTGACACATGTTGGAACTGGTGTTTCTTGATGAAAAAATGTCTACTGTAAAATTTCTGACCATCTGTATTCCATGGAACAGTGCTCCAGTATTCTTTGGGCTGACCTCATCTCGTTTAGTTCCTTAATGCCCTAGGCTTACCTCTCACAGCATCAGCATCATTTAAAGATTTCAGTTGTGCAGCCAAAATCATGCTGGACTTGTCTGTTCTTTTCTGAAGCAAGAGAGGTTTCTTGGCAGCTGCACCTGACAAGCACTAGTGATTTGCTGTGTGTGGTGGAACACCAGCCTTGCTGCTGCTTTAAAACATTGACAGTCCTCAGCTAGTAAATAGCCACAGTGCTGTGCCAACAAAATGCTCTCTTCACCATGCTGTGCTTTGTTGTCTGAAGAGTAACCTTCAGGTATTGACTTAAGGTAACTTGGATACATTCTTAGTGAACAAGGGTTGTGTTTCAAAGTGGGGGG